AGCACACCCAACAGTTGATGAAGGAGTCGTTTCCAGAAAAGTTTGTTTTAGTGGATTTGGTAAATGCTGTTACAACCACATTATGATCAACGTACGGAATTGCGGCTCTTTCTTTGTATACAGACTGAAACCGGTCCAAGTTTGTCACAGCCGGTACTGCGGAAAAAGCTAGAGGCTGAAACACAAATCTTGTTTTTAAGGATACTGTATATCATTATACCTTGATCTGTAGTCGTTTGTTTAACCTGTTGTTGAACTAATTCAGGTATCGCAAGCACGTCAAGAATGAAACTTAACTTTAAAACAGTTCGTCCTTTTAAAGAATTATCATTTAGAATATTAAAGGAGGCCTGATCAAGACTTTGCAGAATTATACGAGTAAAATTTATGAGAGATGCCATTCTCTCAGCAGGTATTATATATATTTACTTTAGTTTCCTCAATGTCATTCTTTCAGCATGTTTTGTACTTGCTTTAATTAGTTACTTCAGTCGACTGTAAGTGATTGTTCTTTGGGGTAGAATTCTGTAAGTGTGTGAGATAAATTTCATCTCCCTTCTCTTAGCGCCCTCTTTGACTTGTCCTTTCCACACCGAATGCTTATCAAAAAAATGCCTGAGAATAATTTGAACATGTCTGTAACCCTTTGAAGTCGATTTGACTAAAAATTTAGAGAATGTATTACACCTGCTTTGAGGACACGTGCTATTTCTATCCCAATTTCCTGTTAAATGCGAAAAGTTGTGAAGAGTTTGAAATCGGCTTATATATGGAGCAGGAGTCTCTTATGTAGGATTGTTATGAAGCTACACTTCCAATTATTCAATAACGTTGATATATTTTCTCAGTGGATGGTTATTTCACAAGAAGACATGACGCTAAACGAAAGCGTTTAACGGGTGGCATGCAAAGAGCTGGCTGTCGAACTGTTGTTTTCTACCAGCAAAACAAAGGGTCAGTTTGATTAGATTTCCTAAACTGAAGTGAGCCACAGAAGGAAAATAATAACTATTATGATATGGCCCTTGGGGCGTTGCTCTGACTCGCAATCCCATTGAAAATCATAATTACTATGTTGTGAATCAAAGTGATATTAGACATGTGGGTTGAGTTTGTTGTTGGTTCTTGTCGTTGCTCCAAGAGTTTTTCTCCGGGTCCTCCGGTTTTCCTTCCTCCACAAGAACAAACATTCTAAATTCCAGTGGAAACAGTGGAAAAGAAGAGCTACCTCGTGGAATGTCGGTTGGAGCTGGAAGAGTATCCCTACAAACCACCTGCCGCATCATGAATGTGGAACTGACTTGCCGGGCCGGGTGGATGGACGGAGCACACCCAACAGTTGACGAAGGGGTTGGCGATTATGAAATCTTCTGGGAAGTCAACGTTTGGTCGAGGTAAACAAATCTCGATGCAAAGAAATTCGTGCGTTATTTACAGCCATGCAAGCAGGCTCTCGTTCTTAGTCTCATAACAGTTGCAGCCCAAGCATTTTTCTCTGCACGAGTATTACGCCTTTGGCACAGCGAGTCGGGATCGATCTGGAAGGTGTCTGGCACAAGTAGTCATTATTAGTGCCCAAACCCTTGCAGACATCTTTTCGGCTTCCTTTGTCTTACAAAATTAATACATTATCTGTACAATTTTTGATGAAAAGTGATATATAACATCAACTGAAAACTCACTCATCCAATCTTATTTGCGTTGCCGGAATAGGATAAATTTCTTTTAACAAAATCTGAAGGCTAGGAATTTTAAACACTGAGAGTTAGATATTTTACGATATAATCTGTAGATATTACTTGATCTAATTTGTCTTTTTGAATCAACCAGAGCAGTAATTCATTCGACCTAGAGTAGAAGAGTTCGATGAAAAACTTACAAAAGGTTTCCATACGAAGAAAAATAGACATCGTGTACGCCATACGATAAAAGCATCTATTTTTGGACACGGTAGGAAGGTGAATACATTTACACCTTCTCCTCTGCCACAGCATTTCAAAAAGCTTTCTTCAAAATTGTCACCTGAAACTTGGTCACGATAGTGCGGATCCAAACGGAAGTCGAAGACACTCGAAGTCTCATGAGACGAAATCAAGTCAACACGTGGGCTAAAAAGTGCAAGACACGTGAGCTCAAAAGTGAAAGACACGTGAGCTCAAAAGTGCAAGTGACACCAAGTTTATTCAGTACGTTTTCATTGGTGTCATCTTGTCTCATTGTGAAAAGTGTCTGCTTTTGATATTGCCGTTGAATATTTAGCCAGGTACATCATTCTGTCATCATGGCGCCCGTTTCCGCCCCGTGGTCCCCTGCATCGGATTCCTCAAGATGCAGGTCCTCTAACATCTCCTGGAGACTTATCCGTGGGGTGTCATCGTCATCATCTTCTGAGGCGCCTTTGTAATCACGATCTGAAAGTAATAATGGTTTCAATTAGTTTCCTAACCAGATTTGTTCTAGAGTATTTTATCTTGATCTGAGAATTCACTCTCAGGCAAAATTCCTACTCATCTCGGATACAATATGGTCCATGCGGGAAACTATGTGTGGAGCACATTTCGCGAAGCGTTGTAAAACAAAGACCAAAGTAACTACAACGGCTGATCAGAACAAAACTGAACTTCACAAGGATTCTTTGTAAACAGGCATGGACGGCCAGACCAATTGAAGTTGGATTTTGCAAGTGATTGTTTGAGAGGAATGCGGGAGCTTTCTCGACCAATCATAGAATGGAATAAAATAAAAACTATGGAATATTCCGGATTACGTTAGAACATGACGCTATGTTTTTGCAGAGATAAATTAGGTGTTAATCACTTACCGACATAAATGTTGACCTGCTGTCGGTAGATCTTATCTTCCTCCAGATCACCAAGGAAAGCATCGTAATCCCTGCACAGATAAATTGCTTAGATTAAATTCGGTCGTAGTGTCAAACAAATTACCTCGCTATAGTGTTGAATAAGGACATTGGAACAAAGGGTCGGTTCTGCTGCTCAGCGCATGTGCATGGTGGGTGACTCATGAAAAAAATGTAAAAGGAAACTATCATATAACCTTTTAAAACAGAATGTTCGCTAATGTTTTCATAATTTTATGGGTCATTCATACTTTCTCATTTTCCCTTTCCCGTGACTAAAAGAACATTTCAATTCAACAACCACCTTTCCAATCATTTTTACACACAAAGAAACATGGAATTAAGGCGAGGACAGGCCATGCACCGAGGACAGGCCATACGCCGAGCAAAGCGAATACGTCCTTCATAAATCCATCAAAACAATTACAGTACCCATCCAAACTGTCTTGATCAATTCCTGCCATTTCTTTGTCAAGACCCTTTAATTTCCAGTTTCTTCTCCGCCGTCGCTTCTTCTTGTCACCGTGGGATTTCTTCACCAAAATCTGGAAGTTTTGACAACAAACATCTCATTAAAGGAGTAAAGCCAACGTTTCTGCATCTTGAAAAACTTAGTCTACGTTCTTCTGGTGAGTCAATTGAAATCTGTTTTAATCCTCTCCATCCTTAGTCATCCCTTTTCTTTCTTTACTTCCCTTTGGTTCTTTTTTATTTCTATTTCTTGCTTAATTGAAATTCTGAAGTCTTCCTTAAAATTGAAGATTTTTTGTAGGGCTCAAAATTTGACTTAAGTTCATAATTTTCAATCCGCGTCAATCTTCTCCATCGTTAGCAATCCTTGTCTTTTCTTTGCTTACTATTGCCTCTTTCAGATTTTTTATCTTACAAAATTAATATGTAGTAGTCTTCTTGAAGACTACTTGGTTGAGTGGTTTCTAGCCCACGGCTGTTCTTTTGGCGGTGACTTACGGCTGAAAACTGAACTCAACTCATCACAAACACAGTGAGACCTCTTACCACATCTGGAATTCGTTCGGGGTTCATCTTGGCAAGATTCTCATCGCTTACATTTGTTGTTGTGAAATCAAATCTATCCAAAAACAAACATAAAAACATATAAAAAAAACTAAGCGTTTATAGCATTTGAACAAACCACAATTTTCAAACGGTTTTCTCAAAGTGTACATAACAATGGTACGTGTGAAATACTCCTCGTTAAGTGTACATAACAGCAAAAGTACGAGTGAAATAATTAAAGTATGTTTCATAGTTAATTATCTGCGATTCAACGACACGATTTGGTATGAAAATACCATATCTCTTTTTTTGAGGTTCCATGCCGCACTTGAAAGATGAACCACTAGTTATTCTCAAAGACCAGTCTGTGACGTCGGTACAAAACAAAAGGATAAGAGGGATGGGGGGATGGGGGTTAGTCTTACCCCAAAACAGCATCCCCAGTCTTCAGGAGATGGCCAAGATGAGTGCGGCAGTGATACTGACAATCATTCGTGCCTAGGTCCTGCATCCGCGCTACCCATACATCCGCCAAAACATGCTGATAAAGCAAAAAAAAAAAAGAAACAAAAAATAAAAACAAAAACAAAAAAAAGACCATCTTAATAATAATTGAGAAGCGCTCTGTGAAGCCAACGTGAAAATAAATAATATTTTTGGTAGGTATTTGTCAAACCCGAGGAGAATAACGTTTTCGATAGCACAATTACATACATGGTTATGACTAAAAATATACCCATAAAACATCTGAGATATTTTGATCCTACAGAGGCCAAGTCTGACTTAAAGTGACCAACAAAAGTCTTTTCACAAACCCCCTTAATAGCACGATGGCGGAAAATCTCAAGGAGTAGGGGTACTTTACTTTAAAATCAGTAAAAGAGACTCACTGGTGGATAAGGGATTTAATTTAACCCTCTCAAATCATATTTCGGGAATATTTGCCTTAAATAAGAGGATAGTAGAGAACACAGCTAAGTTCCTTATTCATGTATACAGAAATTTCAGATACCCTTTGACTGAGGTTGGTTGTTGACAAAGATAAATTCTTTGAATCAACTGGCTCAATCTGAAGAACCATGTACTCAGTAAATTGCTTATATGTGCAAAGGCTTTTGAAAGGCAGACGCCAGTAGTTTGATGCTGAGATTTCTGCAGCTAATTGATATAGAAAAACAAAAGATAGAAAATGGTAATTGACTTTAATAATCATTTGAATACATTCAATTTAACTTTTCCTTGGTTTTTATTCACCTTGAAATGAACCACGTTTTTGCGATAGTTATTACACATTCTCAGGATGCAGTGGCCTACAGTTTAGCACTGGACTCAGCACAGAAAGGGTCCAGGTTCCACTTCCATTCTTAACTGTTTACACCCAAACATCAGTATGCATATTCTCCATACTGTTCTCTAGACATTTGCTAAGGTGCTGACAAGGAGAATCAGTGTAACAATCTACTTCTGTAGTCGTTGATCATTTCCATTGTTCTCCTGACCTTAGTGTGTGATTCGGGGGTGACATTGTATGGAGAATTTAGATGCTAGACACTCTTAAAGGTTAAAGGGTTTTAATAAAACACTTTCATAATAAAACAAGTAACAACTAGCACAACACAATTGATTCTTACAATTCCACTCTCCACTTACAAGTATAAATTGGTATTTGTGAACCATCAAGAAAAACATCATTGCATAAAAATGCACAGGGGGGGTCCCTTAGGTCAATAAAGCATCCCACCCAACAGGGGTGGAATCAGTAATGTTCCCTCTATGCCCTCTATGAACCCTGGCATGATCTGAGGCACTTGGACCAATCAGCCTCTATGACTTGAATTGCCTCCACCTTCCCATTCCTTTACCCCACCTCTTCAATATCATTTGGCACAGTAACTGGGGTTGTTGCCTTCCATTTGGTTATTGCATCTGTTTGAACATGACGGCATGAAAACTACAGCTCTGATATGAAAACTTACTTTGTAATGTTGCTGGATCAATAAACTGTAAATTTGTGCTGACTCGGTTACAGATGACATTTTGACTGAAAAATAAAAAGCAATGACAACAAGTTCAGTACTGATAATATCACACACTCTGCAATGACTGGACTTATTTTCTTCCTTTGTAATCTTTTAAGATCACAAATTTACTTCTCTGATTTCAAATAAAAGATTTCATTTTTGCACACATAAACTTAACTTTTGGAAAGCAAAATACATTGAGCCATCAACTTTGAAGACTGCCAGTGTTAGGGTTTAATGATTTTTTACTCAGTTGAAGACTGGAACTATAACTCCAATATTCAGTTACAGTACTTTGGAAAACTTGCCCTAAGCATCCCTCGGAATATTGCAGATGCATCAATACAACCTCAAGCTGGTTAATAAAATTTTTCCATTTTCTAACCTGATGTTACCAAGAGATCTTGAAACTTTCAAAGGCAAACAAACAACTTCCTCCTGGAAAACATCATTGTGATCACAGCTGATTATTAAAATTCAATCTGAATACTGAGCAAGGTGTTCATTAGGCATGGTAGATCAGATAGTTTTTTGGTTACTTTGCAGACTGATTCCCTGGTTAAATCATCATGGCCTGAGCAATAAATTCTAAAAATGTAGAGAATGTTCACTTGCTGTTTTAAATTATTCTATTTCTTACTGAAAACCCTAACTGTAAAATCTGTGAAATTTGCCTTAATTCTGGTTAAACTAAATCATAATTTTTGCTCAGGGTCTCTCTGACATGAAATATCTACCTAACTGTTCTTATATTTCATATTTCAGGGAACAAAACATTTATCTGAGACTCCATGGAATTGGAAATCTTTTATCATGTATGATTCATGTATTAATCATGAAATATTAAGCATTGGACTGTCTTGAAAACTCCTTCAATGGCAAAAACCAAAATAAACCTGGCCATTGGAAATGCTTGAGTAGTGTTTGGAATGGACTGGACTAAACAAAACTAGATGTTGAAACTAGTATTATTACAAACCCTGCAAACAGGAACAATTTCCACAGAGAAAGTGTACTTGTAGTTGTATGTATTGTTGTGTACATCATGGGAGATGAGCTTCTCAGACGTTTTGTACCTGAAAATAATTTTAAAGGTTTACTTAATAATCATAACAGGAAAAAGAGAAACAGCTGCATTCAATTCATGTGCATGTATGCGTGTTACCATAATGATGTGAACTAATACAGTCAAGCTCACAGGTGATGGAAACTGTTCGATCTGGTATCAAATTCTCAGAAGCCGCATGGTAAAAAATCTAAGGCAAACAGTGGGGAGAATTACATAATTGTGACCTTTGGAGTTAGGGGTTTAAATTTAATTTCTCCTTACCTGCAAGGAACAACAGACTGCAGGAATTCCACAAACTTGCGAGCATCTGCTCTAGATGCATAGAAGAAGTCCACCCCATCTAAATATGATTATAATAACAAAGCAAAGTTCAGTTATTACTATCAAACAACAGAAGCAGGGCTGACATGGTGGAACCTCTCCCCTTCCACAAAAGTCACCTGAATTTCACTAAATTTTAAAATAAATGTGTCTCTTACCTGACTCTTGCTTGACCTTCACAGTATTCTGATGGGCTCCATGTTTCAAAATTAACTGTTCAAGGTAGAAGAATGTCTTCTTGTGTGATGTCTGGAAAAAACATCAAACAATATTTCATTGTTGTATTCTTGATTACAGTTAACATTTTCATTTAATTTAGCAGTTACAACCTGCCTAAAAAACATAAGCACATCTTGGTGGCTAATGGTTTGCAGAGGAAGAAAGACTTATTTGAGTACTGGTTAGTCCTCAAGACTCCCATGCTCAGTTAATCAAAGTGCAGATTACACCATCTTATGGATAAATCCCTAAGAGTTAAGAAAAAGTACTGCACTGTCCAGCGGATGGCAATTTATCCAGTGTTATCCACCCAACAAACAACTGGGGCTTTATAAAAAGTTCTGGATTCAAGGCATTATCAAGGATTTTCTATTGTGTTCTTGGACACGACCATAACTTCTCAGAGGTTCAAACTATTAGAGAGAACTTTTCTTATTATTAAAAGGATACTTATGAAGAGGCATTTCATGTCCCTTCATGGTCTAGAAACTGTGATAAGCTACCATGGTGATGAGCTGATAAATGCACAAGACTAAGTTCCTCCATCCTCACTGGCTAAATTGTGAATATGCTGTTAACTTAATTTTGAATTTAAGTTGAAAAGAATTCCTGTCCAAGACTCATGACTGTGCCTTTTGATCCAAAATACGACACGACCAAATTTCATTTCCCAGTTCTCCCACACTAAAAAAAATGCAATTACTTTAATAAACACACAGTACCTTCTGTCTGACTTGGACAACAGCCTTCCAGTAATCCCGAGCAGCCTGTCGATGACATGCATCACACATCTGATTTTGCACAACAAATTCCACTACAAACACCTGCTGCAATATCGTTGAATTTACTACCTGCAATGGAAGAAGTTTTACCAATCAGTTTTACACTTTCCTCCCAATGAATATGAGTAAAGGGCATGATGTCTGGTTCTAAGTTTTTTTAATTTTAATTTCTCAATTACTTTGAATCTTAAAGACAAAGTTTCTGGGGAATGACAACTCAAATTTTTATCACTAACACAATAAAAAACAAACCTCTTTCTGAATGGTTAATTTCACTTTGATTCTTTTAGAATGAGGCTCTGTCCAAACAAACCCTGCATCAACCAAGCGAACCTGAAGTAAGATGTATTATTAATCAGTTCATGACATACAGGTTCTAATTCATAACAAGACGACAGATAGTTCTTTGGATGAATGAATAATTATAAACTTTTTGGCAATGTCATGAGTAAGTTTGAGACAATAAGCCTCACGAGAATCCTCAGAAGATGCATAATTTTCTTCTAGTGAAACAAAATCTTAGTCTCCTGAATGTATTTTTGAAATTTTCTTTTTAAGTTCAAATGGTAGGTATCTCGCTTTTCCTACCAACTGAGATACATATAATAACTCCTTTTGGTTGTAACAGACCAAAATCTAATTTTTTTCCTTATATCATGATACAAACACAAATACAAAATGGACATGAGTGAAAATAAAGGAAATCTCTGGTAAGAACTCTGATCCTTTAACTCCCAAGATCTCACTAGTAATTCTCCTTACTGTGTATCATTTAGTTCTTGGGATGTTAGTTTTGAGAATTTGGTATTGGATCAACTATATATATATATTCCCTTAGCTCCGGTTGGAGCATAGGCCATTAACCACTTCCGTCCTCCATCGGGTTCTGTCCTGGGCAAATCTTCCTAAAGTGGCCCAAGTGTGGCCCCAGTTTCTCATTTGGGACTCTACACCTCTTCTCCAGGAGTTCCTGGGACGACCCCTCTTTCTCTTGCCCTGGGGGTTCCAACGTAGTGCCTGCCGGGTGATGTTGTTAGCCGGTTTCCTTAGGATGTGACCTATCCATCTCCACTTTCTCTTTGAGACTGAGGACTGCTTTGACATTGGTGTTAAAAATTCTAAATTTGGTTCTCCGTGAGATGACATGGGAGGACCACCCTTTCCTCAGCGTATTGAAAGCTACTCTGGCTTTGTTTATCCTGACCTTGATATCTTCATCGGAACCTCCGTCAATGCTGACTACACTGCCTAGGTAGACAAAAGATGTTACTTCCTCCAAGATGGTATCCCTCACTTTAACTGGTCTGTTGTTGGTGCAGTTGACCTTCATAACCTTGGTCTTATTCACATTCGGATGCAGGCCTAACTTGATGGAATTAGCTGTTAGCCGTGCTGTTTTGTCCTGCATTTGTTGGTTGTTACTTGACACCAGGGCGATATCATCAGCAAACTCTAGATCTTCAAGTTGCTCCAATAAGTTCCACTGGATCCCATTTCTCTGTTCTCCAGTTGTTTCCTTCATGATCCAGTCCATAGCAAGTAGAAACAAAAACGGTGCCATCAAACAACCTTGCTTGACCCCAGTGTTGACCGTGAAGCTATCTGACAATCCACTAGCATGAAGGACTCTGCAAGTCATCTTATCATAGGAATTTTTGATGATTCGAATGAATTTCCCTGGTATGCCATAGTGTCTCATAAGGATCAACTAACAATCCCATAATTAATATTTTTCTTTATTCTCAACACTTATCTGCTTGATATTGTATTGATATCGTAAGGGGAAGTTCTGTCCTGGTCACTCATGGGAGTTAAAGGGTTTAGTAAGTATCTAACACCTAATTCTACAATCCAAAATAAAAGAAAATGTGTAGCAGTCAAAAAAGAGGATTTATATTCCTTACTGCACCTTATTCAACCCTTTCAGCTTTTTCAAACACAGTGCTAGAAGTTCTCTTGATTCTAATGCACATGTTGTCCACTGGCTTGGCGGCTGAAGATATCTGAAGACAAAACAGAAAATAGAGGAGATCCATTAGTATGGAAATGTTAAGGTGTATGAATCAGCAAGCTGGCATACCACCAAAACTTGATTTTTACCATAACAATAATTATTAATAACATGAATAGGACTGAGTGGAATCCAATTTGGTCCGTAATCATCGCTGATTTATGAATCACAAGTAAGATTACAGAGAGAATTGGATGATGCAAAGTCCTGTTACCAATTAATTAAAACTATGACAAAATTTGCAAAAGAAACTAGACATTGTTTATAAATTTTCACACAAAGACAACAGTTAACTGGGAAAAATGCATGAGAACAGCATGTGTACATGACACCTACAGTCCAGTTACACAGGCGTGATGTGTCAACTTTCACTTTACGCTGTCCTATGAAAAGCATGACATGTACACTGTCCTATTAGTGCTCAACTTAGGCTGGTGACATCAAACACGTTCGAGAATCTTGTTATAGTTTTGATAAAGAAAATAATAATAATAATAATAATGATGATGATGATGATGATAATGACATATTACATTTTTAAAATTTGAACTCTTGTAGGTACAATTCACCCGATTGAAAATCTTTTATAGTCACTTTACGAATGTCAACACTGTTCTCATGTTCTTCTTTAGTTGCTATCAGCACATTTTTTTCGATTTTTAAGCATCGATATGAGGTCAAGATTAAATCAGTCTGAAAAACTTACCTTTCACACGCTTTGCAGAAATATAAATTACTTTGCTTGGGAATTCCTTCAGTGATGTCGACTTGCGTTCGTAGGCACCCAACGCACATGTTGGATGGGTTCGGAGTAGTAAGCACACCACATTGACAACAAAGGCTGAAGATAGTAACCAAAGGAAATATTTTCAGCGAGTGTTTCCTTTAAAAGACTAGATCAAAGTATAAGTAAAGCTAAGTTTGGCAAATCGTCTGTGTTTTTGATACCTGGTTTGGTTTTCGGAAGAAGGGATTTCGTCCATATACTCCATGTTGGATTGTTGCTTAAGAAGAATTGTGGGTAGTATTGCGCAACATGGCGTAAGAGTTTATTACTCAGTAGGGCTGGGTGGGGATGGAATTGTACATGATCACGATGACTCGGATAAACAGACGAGGTCGATTTCTGGGAAGCAAAATGGATAAATAAATTCCTTTATGCCGAAGATACAGCGATTTCTTCTTCCGTCTTCTCCTTCATTATCATTCGAACATCGTTTCTGTAACGTTCTCGATTTCTCGTCATCCAAATATGGAAAGGGTAGGATAACTCTTTGAAATATCTAGTGTAGGGCTTTTTAAGCGCACAACCGTTTTAAGATCTTGCAGGTTGGTACCATTTTTCCAAACGCTTTCCAGAATTTACAGTGACAATAGGAATAAGTCTGTTAAAGGCTGTCTCTGTGTTTCAATTCCACGTCACTACAAATAGCGCAAAGTGTATTCTGGCGTACAACGCACTTTGAACGCGCGCGCGCTGTAGAACATAACGACACAGACAAAACTGTAGTTAACGAACTGAAGCAAACTGTGAATTATACTCGGGTACAGGGACATCTGAGCGCAGTAGACGGTGAATCTTTAACGAGGTTTGATAAGTAGTTTTCCGCCCTACTTTGAATAAAGGAAGTTCATTTCGCTAAAGACGTACAAAGAGCGTATTCGTTGATTGAGGGAATCATGAACTTGAAAATTTTGGAGGAAAGTTCAAAACGATCTAAGTCACTCAAACGGTACAGCTTAAACAGGAAAACTAAAGAAAAAGAAAGGTTTGTATATCATATATTATATTTCTTAATCATTTAGAAAACTTTTCTAATTAATTAAGTATTGTTTGCTTGATTGGTATTTTCCTAGATTTAGGTTTGACAAACGAATGATCCAAACGCCCAGTTATTTGCAAACGTAGGATGTCTAGATCTCAAAAATATCAGTGTAAGCTCTTTGATTCCTTTCAAAGAACTCGATCCCAAATAGTGATCAGAAATTTGCTTCTCTCCTAACCTGTTGCTCAGTTTTGAAACTCATATAAAAGTAGTGCTTTGTTGGCATCTAAGGGTCACGTGTTCCAATCCTCCAGAAACTGCACTTTATTCCATTGACATGCGCGAGAATCAGTTCCTCATCCACTAACCCGTAAGTGAAATAACATTATATAATATAATTTTAAACTTGTGATGGTAAATATTCTGCATGTACTGTTTTAAAAGGAAAGAACGGATGACTAAATCTGTTGAAGACGGAACGCAGTCCTTGCCGTACTCCCCGGCCTGTGGGGCAGATGCAAATGCAACCTGTGAAGATGCCGAGAAGGATACTTTGTGTCTTAACACGAGAAAAGAAGACTCAACCGGAAAGCAAGAAAATGTTATATCGGCCGCCACAGTCGTCGTTAGCCAGGGGCTACCAATTGGTAGGTTACATCTTTCCTTGCCTTAGACATGAGATAACAACGGTAACTTCTTGATATCTTTGCTGTATTACAATCCCTAGGGACGATAAAAAAGACACATCAACCTGTGATGTCACAACGCCTTGCTCCAACTTCCGTGAGGCCCGACACCAAAAACCCTCCCATGGCTCCTTGTGGCCCGGCTGAATTAAGAAGCGTGCGCATTGCTAGTCAGTTAAAGAACCATCCTTCCAAACAGACGGAGAGCCTATTTCCTGCTCAACTGCAATGTACTGGTCGTGCTCCTAACTATGTGCCACATCATGAAAATTTTCGAGCGTCACCCAGATACGTTCTGGCTCCAAATTTACCTTATAATGGAAATACAATCGTGCATTCGGCATTCATGAACATTCCACAAAACAACCCCGTCATGTATACACACACCTATATGACGCCGTTTCAAAGTCCAGGATTTCATGCCAGTCAAATTACGCATACTCAGATCAGGATGCAGCAGAACAGAGAAGCTTACAATGCGTTCACTGCATATGGACATCCATTTGGAGTGTTCTGGAGTAGACAGAATTAAACTTCTCCTTTAAATTGAACGATCTAGAAGGCTTAGATTTACACAAAGAAATAGTTCATGTGTGCCTGCCCCGTTGGAAAAGGCCATGCCCTAAAGAATAACGGAATTTTACGATAAATATTTACATCACGGAAGCCAGCTCTGAACGGTCAAAATTTCTTCTTTTTGCTCATTAAAAAGCATGACATATGAATTGATGAACCTTATGAACGAGAATGCTTTACTTTGAAATAGAAAAGATTCAAATTTATTTTCTATTTGAATCCTTCAACGTCTTAATCTTAATCTCTTGTGGCAGACTTCTTTTAACTTACAGCATTTTTCTTAGTCTTGTACAAACACCTAATTTTCCTTTGATTCTATCAGTTCATGTTGCTTATAGTGAAGAAGAAGTTATAATTTGAGAATTCTCCTACTTATTTGATCGTGAAAAATATACATTTATCATGACACTTAGAATAAAAAATCATCTTTCTCTTCTTGCTTTGTCTGAGAGTTATTTGTCGAGGACGACGTGGCTATTATTCTGATAATCTCCAAGACAGTTCCAAGCCTGAGGCGAGTAGTTGTCTTAAAATAGACTTTGAATGTGTATCAAGAGCTCGGGGCCAATTACAGCCAGCTCAGCCCGGTTAGTTTAGCGCCCCTCATCGTTGCTTCATTACAATCCGTTAAATTTTATACATCTTGAGTTATCCTGGTTTCTTCTTTATTATCATTTGACCTGGCGCTAATAGCTTCTCTTAGATCATTCTCTCTTGAGTTCTGCAACCGAAAAGTGCATTCGTAGAACGAGGACAAACATAGAAATAAAAATTAAGCAATTGAGTAAAATCCGTGCAAAATTATGCATAAGGTGATATTAAAATTTACTCGATTCTGTGTGGCAAAGACAGGCACCCAGGCAGTCCTCTCGTTCCCATTCTTTCTCTTCTTTTTCACTTTACAACTTTGCGTGACACAAATATTAGATCACGTGATAACCCCTGTTGATTTGTTTCTGGACCGCAGTGTAACTCGCCCAGCCTGCAGACTTTTCATCCATTTAATTCCCTGCGACGATGTGGCTGATTTTCGAGGTCTTTGTGGTGTACTTTAAGCTTGTTTTTTATTGGCTGGAAGCAGCTTTTCGTCGAATTATTCCTCCACCTAAGAAAAACATCGAAGGCCAAACGGTGTTGATCACAGGTGAGGCACAGCACGTCTCAATGATATTGCGAAAGCTGCTATAGGCGTTGCTCACGATATAAGAAGGATTGATCCTACTCAAAATTTGGTGTGCAAACAGCTTTGGATATTTTTTTTGCTATAGCCGTTTTACTCGTGCATTTGAGATACTATCTTCTCTCATTAGAATACTGGTCCAGTGACCTCCAGAATTAATTTAAGTTGATTTTTTTCTTGCTTATTGATTAGCTATAACAGTAAGGACAAAATTATGTGTGCATTTCAACTCTGCATGTTTTTATCGATGTTCTACATGAGCATTTGAGATATTTTCCATCTCGGTATGGCAAAAAACTGATCCACTGACCTCCAGAAGGTTATTTCTTGCTTACTGCTCCTGTAACAATAGTGAATAATTAAATATAAAATTATGCGCGATTTCCATACGATTAAATTAATGCTAAGAGTGTTCGACAACTCGTCATTCCTTTGATGGTAAGAAGGAGGAGAATTTCAGATCTCAGTTCAATTTATAACGCAAACCGTTCAGTTTTATATTTAAACGATAAATGTCTCCTTTATTGATATACTAATTTCGACAATGCATGCGTATTCGGTAGAAGGTACTATCTGGATCAAGTTTGTAACCCCTTCGTTGTTTTAGAGATGTTGGAGTTTAAGCGCTCAATGTTTTCTTCTTATTTCATAGGTGCCTTATATCTTATGAACAAGATTTATGATTTAATTACTTTTGAACGTTCAGCCACTGAGCACTACTCAAACCTCACTGATAATGATTTAGAAGTAATTAAATTTTCCAAGGTGTGGTATTCAATTTCACGATAGTCCTTGTAACAAGTGGTCCTGGAAAGCTGCCCTTTACATTCATTATTGAGATATTTATGCTTTGGAAATTAAACCAATAAAATATCAGCACTGAGCTAAGACATGCATTGCATTAGGTTTTAAAATTCAGCTTTGGACCAATTATATTTCTGGGATTTTCAAGAAAATAGGGGCCTGCTTCTACTTGTTGAAATACATATATCAGATGTTTTGGTATGTAGTATCGCTGAGTATTTTTACAAGGTGTGCTGTACTTTGATAAGCCCGTAGGGGCTTGTCAAAATACAAACAACAAGTAAAAATACTCAGCAATACTACACACCTTAATGTCTAGTGAGTTATTTGTTATCCAACTGCTTGTTTATCTGCTAAGTCTTTCTACTCATTTCTCATAGGGCGGGAAAAGCAAAGCAGATAGATAAACATAGTGCGCACTGCTGACTGGTTAAACAGGTTTTTTTACAGTACAAAATAACCAACTGTCCAAATAGCCATACAATATTGCAGGATATCTGTTCTCTATTCATGTGTTATTTGTTCTTTACTTTGTGCCATTGGATAATAAATGCTGCGTATTTACATGTCTTTTGTTTTGCCGATTTTCATTTAAGGTGCTGGTGGTGGGATTGGTAGACTACTTTCTCTTCAGTTTGCTGCTCATGGAGCAAAACTTGTCCTGTGGGATATAAACAAAGGTAAGTTACAGAAGAAGAAGATGACACAACACCCCTGGCCAGGCCGCATGCTCTGAATAATTCAAACCTGGGCCCCTTGATCTGAAGACAAAGGCATCTCTGCTCTCCAGAAAGATGGCTGTTAACCCTTTAACCCCCATGAGTGACCAAGACAGAATTTCTCTTAACAATATCAATTCATTATCAAGTAGACAAATGATGAGAAACAAGAAAAATTGTCAGTTGATCCAATACCAAATTGTCCAAAGTAACACCACAAGACCTATATGGAGGACAGTAAGGAGAATTACTAATGAGATCTTGGAAGTTAAAG